GAGGAGATTCTGCTCAATTCAGTAGCCGACTCTCTGAATCTGAATTGAATAAGAGGATGAATTAAAAGATCCAAATCAATTCAAAGCTCTCTGAATCTTTGGGATAGTGGGGGGCAGCAGGGATCGCCCCCTGCCTGCATGAGCAGTGAGTCTGGGGGGGGAGGGGGGAAGGGGTTGTTTGTTTTTTTCTTGAAGGGCCAGAGCTGGCCTGGCCGGGGCACCCATAGGGGGGCTGGGTGAGCAAGAGGGGAGTTGGGGGGCTCATGCAGAGACCCCCATGCAGTGTGGGGCAGTGGGGGCAGCAGGGATTGCTCCCCACCCGGCAGCACCTGGTGAGCCATGGCTTTTTTATTAATAAGTGCCAGGAGCTGGGGCGGGCAGGGGATGGGCATGGCCTGGCTGATTCCGAGGTTCGGCTAAACTGAATCGGGACAGTGATTCGAAGCACCAAATTGAATCACTGTCCCCGAAATCAGCGGAATCCAAAGTGAATACTAGCCACTTCGCAGAGGCCTAGTGCCTGTACAGTGAGCTTTCTGAGCTCACTGACTTGTCCGAGTGGCATTAGCCCAGGGTACGAACCCAGGGGGTGAATGCTGCCCCTTCCACCCTCCTACCCACTACCAAATTTGATGGAAGAGGAAGAAGGGGGCAAGCAGCCCCCTGGGTCTCATTCCATGGGTTCTGGAGCTGCACCAAAGCAGCAGCTCTCTTTGGAGTTGTGCTGAGAAGCTGGTGAGCTCAAGGAGCTCACTGGACATGTATTGCATAGTTGTAGGAAATGATGTGTGGCTGCATCCCCGTGCACCACTCCTGTATCCACTCATACTGAGGTTCTAGGGCTTGAGCGTATTGCACCAATTATTTAGCTTAAATTTGAATTGCTCCTTTTGATTGCTCCTTTTGTATACTTCTTACAGCTTATTATTGGGGTCATATTGATTCATCATTAAGTTTCATAGGGCAGTAGGTCTGGTACTGTCTAACGCTACTATACTATTCATGTGCTCTAATATTACTCCACAAATTGCCCTGATAGTTCTCTCTTTTGTACAAGCTCCTTTGCAAGCATATCACCCATTGAAGTCATATCCTGTTATAAAGATAAATAAGAATAGGTGTATACCAAGCCCCCAGAACCAAATATACCCAAATTTTGGCAAAGCATATATCAAGATATGAGCTTTACTTGTCAGGACCCTCCTCAGTCTGAAACTGTGGGAAAACTGGATCCTGCCCAAGTCATAGAGCCCTGAATGAACCATTTCTAAGTATCTGTGCCTACCAACACAATATTTCATCTTGCTTACAATAGTGTTTAGAACAGAGGGCGATGTGAGTCTGGAGTTCTCAGGTTTGTTATCAGCTCAGTGAAAGTAATGCCATGTATTCAGAAAGGTAAATTGGCCCAAATTGTCAGGTGCTCATCATTAACAATTGGGGACTCTATTTCAGAAGAGCTCTGCTCTCCTCTAGGAATCCAAAGAAAAGGACATTTTTGAGCTCAACACCAGCCAGATCCTATCCTCACACTTGGGATCCAGTTTTCAGTATTGCGCAGTATCCAGCATACTGAATTCTGAAAATCTGACCACTTTGACGGACTCTCTTGAAAATATAGTAGATGGCAGCTGAGCTTTTCTGGAAATCTTGTCTTTGAAGAAAAGGTTCCATAAACTATAAATAAAGTAAAACATCCTTAATTTTACAGGAGGGAAATGGAATTTGGATAAGACATGACATTTTTAATAATATTACAAGCATTCCATACAAACTGGAATATAGAACTAATATTCCTAAAGGGCGTAACTGGAAAAAATGCTTTATACTTACATGTAGTATCTGGCTATGTATCCATGCCCTATTAAATAGTCTTTGAATTTCGTATTTATATATTTATTATAACAAAATAAGGCCAATAGAGTTATGAAAAATGCCTTAATCTGGCCTCAGCACTTATACTTACATGTGTTTAAACATATAAATAATAGAACCTCTGCATTCAGTTTGGCTATTTAATGGTTTGCATACAATGCCTTTCTTCACATGAGTTTTGTTGTTCACAAATACCAAACTCTTCACCTAAATGTAAAAATAGTTTTGAAATACCTGTCTTGGATTTTTTAAATTGAATGGATTGTAAAGGCAGAAGACACCATTTTGATAATCTGATCTCACCTCCTAATATGCTTTTTACTATATCACATATGAAGTTATGATCTAAGGACAAAAATCAGTACCTTGTGTGTGAAAATTAACCGGGCCCTTAGTTAACATAGTTGGTACTTCATCTTAGTTTCAAATATATTTGTAAATCCAGTCTCATAATACCTAATATTTATTACTTGTCAGGATTTATAATGTTGCTCTAAATATGTGTCCACATACCATGGTTCATTATGTAGATAGTTCATTATTTTCAGTATTACTCTGTTATTCCTCTTTCTTCCTTACTTTGGGAAGTGGGTGGGGTGGGGAGGGTACTGAACGAACTTTCTTTTTCAGGATTCCTCCCCCCACACCTCCCCGGCACTGTCCAGAGCTGTTTGTGGCTTTTTCCTTCTTTTTCTTTTTCTTTATCTCCACCTGCAGAAAAGTTCATTCTATATGCCCACGGGAATCTGTTACCTTTTTTGGCTTTAAGGGCTTTGTTTCCTTCATAAATTTTGACCGAAAATTGTTCTATCTAAAACTGCTTTGAAATATCAATTGGACAAGGCATTTTTACCTCCTAACTGTTGAATGAGGTTCATTACAGCACATTTTACAGTATAGTTGGCTGTATTTCAGCAGTGGATGGAATGATTCACAAATAACTATATTTATGTCGATAGTATGGAATATGTTTTATGATTTTTTTGCATAAAAAGTGCTAGATAAAGCTAAAACATTCTTGTTATTCTGTACGTCAGTTTAATCAAATGTTGCTGCACATGCTGATTATAGCCAACCAACTTATCCACAATAAACTGTTAAATGTATGTGGGGCATGTGGATGGATGGATGGATGGATGGAAATGTCATTGTAATGGGATCATTTGGATGCTGGCATTTTTGTGAAGGGATTAATTGAGCAAACTATAGTTATAATGAGTTGGCATAAAGTGAAATGCTACAGGTGTTTAAAAAATTGCAGTACATTAGGAACACTGATAGTGTTTAATAACTGAGAAATGTACACTTCCATCTGTGCAGTCTAGTACAGTGGGATGATGTTTGTACACTGAATTAATTAATAAAAAGTGCAGGGATATGATGACTTTAAGTCTGTTTCTTATTCTTCCTGTGATTTTTGGCAAGAATAAATATTGGCAGAAGCGTTTGAAATCCAGGTTTTCTGCCTCATGGATAAGTCATGCTCTCTCTCTGTGGTGCAGTAAATCTCGAATTCTGTGTCTGTATACTGTCCCAGCTTCATCGGGAGGCATGGAAAGTGCCCTCCCTATCCCAGAAAATGCTGTAGTCGTATGGTCAGAAAACTCACTTAGGAGGAGAGAGATGTAAGTTTGGACAATCTCTACCTGTTCCTTCTCACACCATGTTTAACTCCAGGATCTGAGACAGAAGTTCAATAAACCAATTTAAACTCAATCATTTAAATCTGATACTATATCCATCCAGGTTATCTTAAACTGGTTTGGGCCATTTGAAGATGGTTTATGTGCACTGAACTTATGTTGTGTTACAGATATAAACCTTTTTCTGATCATTTATACCAGTTTATGTGTAATGTCTGTCCCTAGTCCAGGAGATAGCTTTAGGCTGAGAATTAGTCTGGCATAAGCACCTCCCTGTGACTGAATCTATATGGCATACTATCCCTGGCAACAGTACCATCAAATACACCATACTGCTCTGGGTGAGATGCCTCCCAAACTTCATAGCAATCTAGCTACATCCACAGAGAGGGCTAATAAGCACCATTGACTAGCAGAGTCAGATAGGCTTCCTGGCTGTGTGTAGATGAAATGAGGGGCATGTGTGCATGACACTTTAAAGCGGGTTAAATGCTTTTGCACCGCTTTAATGGTGTTGGTGTTTGTACATGTTGGTGGCATATTGTGCAGTAATTCCAGCCGCTGTAGCAAATTTGGCAATGTAATGCGCCTTAAATGACTTGGGGCACAGCAAACTAAAACTCCTCAGCTGCTCTACAGCTGCAGAGTGAAGCACCAAGCTCCATGCAGCTCAGGGGCTCTGCAGGAAGCCTGTGCAGGCAGCCTGGCAAGGCAGGCTACCCAAGAAAAAAATGCAGAAATCTTTTTTGTTGTTTTTTTTGGAGCCTGCCTGCCTGCCTGTGCTGCACGGGGGCCTGGTGCTTCCCTCCGCAGCTGTGGTACCCCCTGGGACTACCCGAGCCAGGTGTCTGCAGGCGGGTGCTGCCTGGAAGGGGGCCCCTGCTGCTGCGGAGGGAAGCACCAGCCCCGCCACCCGCTGCCCCCCCAGCCCAGGGACTGCCCCTCCCACTGGCAGCTCACCCTCCCCTCCCCACCACCAGAGGTAGGCAAGTGCACAGGTGTGTGCATGACATGGGGGTTTACTTGGCTAAATTGAAGCAGTGTTTCTAAAAACCCATCGCTTCAGTTTAGGGCCCCTGTTTCATCTACACACGTCTCCTGAAATCTAATGCAGCTCTGCTGCTTCTAGTTAAGGAGGAAACCATATGGAACAGCATTAGTTTAGCATGTAGACATGTCCTTCATCATGTGACTGAGTCATTTGACTTAGTCACCTCAGTACAGTGTTTTCTTGTCACTTGAGAGGGCTCCTTTATACTTAAATGTTGGTTTTTGTGGATCGTCTTTCCCCTTGCATTGGTATTACTATTCGTAAAGCATTGTTAGATCCTCAGGCACTATAGGAGTGCAAAGTATATAAGACATATGGTGATATGATTGTGTACAAGACTGCTTACTCTTCTTTGATATGTTTGTATGAGAAGAAAATGAGTTATATGACCTGATTTTAATCACATAAATCACTTTTGATTTTTTCTACAGATTTTCCATATGACATATGATCTGGCAAGTGCTGTGGTGAGAATCTTTAACCTGATTGGAATGATGCTGCTACTATGCCACTGGGATGGTTGTCTTCAGTTCTTAGTACCTTTACTTCAGGATTTCCCACCAGATTGCTGGGTGTCCCTAAATGGTATGGTTGTAAGTATTGTTCATTTTTCATTGTGTTTCCAAATGTTCTTTTTGATTATTTGTAAACTGTTAGTTCAAAGCTTTAATGAAACAGTAAATGCAACACGCTGCATTGTGATACATTTAAATTCAAGGTTTCCTCTTTTTTTTTTTTTGATGGTTGACTACTAATTTGAAGTATGTTTTATAAGACTAGCTACCAATTCACAATTATAGTAATTTTCCAAGTCTGAACTAATCCAGAAATATTTCAGTTTTAAGGTTGTCTTTACCTATCAATCCTCATTTTCTTAGCAAGACACCAAAAAGAAAATTCACTGAGGGTATAGATGCCTTTATAGCTGGAGCTGTTTCAAAAGGAGAATGTTGCAAAAGGCAGACACTATTATGCTTATTGTTTCTTGTGGACCAGCTGGGAACTATACAAATAGCACAATCACTTCAACTTTAACTCTGCTTCATTCAGTGCTTAGCTGATGTAGCTGTGTTAAAGTTGGAGTGCTTTTGCTATGTTTGTATTGTTCCCAGCTTCCCACAAATAATAATTAAAACGTAAAAGCTACTGCCCTTCTGAAATGTTCTCCTTTCAAAAAATATGCATACTGTGAGATTTAGCAAGCATTTTCAGAGGGTTGTTGATAAGGCCTCTTACCTACATATAACCCAGTTTTGCCCTCAGTTACATAAATGAAAATCTTTTGGCATGAATTAGGAGCTTGGCTTGTTTAGTTTAGCAAAACAAGGTTAGAGTGAAAATGATTACTCTTTATAAATACATTTGAGGATGAATATATAAGAGAAGGATAAAAGCTATTTAAGTTAAAGGGCAATATTGGTACAAGGTCATGTTCTTCTAGGCAGTTTGGAATGAATAGTTCCTGTGAATTCAGGGGACTAGACTGTATAGCCCAGGAAATCCCTTCTAGTCCTTTACTCTTAAATCATGAAGACCTTGTCTAGTCTCTTCTGCAGATTTTACTCAAAGAATATTCCCACTGGAATTTTTCTAAGAAAACAGTGAGAAAACCTAGAGGATTTACATCAGGAAAAGTTGTGTGTGTGTATGTGTCTGTGTGCATGTGAACTGCTACTTTAAGGATAAAATGTGGTTGTATTTGTGCTACTCCTCCAATGGAGCTAGTGTGGTTTTTGCTTGAACCAGTACCCTGGTGTTCGTTCTTCTATCCTTCCAATTGATATGGAGGATTTTCTGAAAACATTGTTGAAGGTAACATCCAAAGCTTTCAAGTGTTTCCAATATCGCATCCAATTTTCACTCCCATACAACAGGGTATGGATAACAACAGCCTGTATACAAGAAATTTGGTTTGAATCTTGATGTCATGCTCATCGAAGACATGATTTTGGAGATGTCCAAAAGCAGCACTGGCAGATTTTATCTGGTGTTGCATATCATCATCTGTGTTTACTTTTTAAGAAAGGAGGGGGAAATTTTTAATTTTCTTCAAGGATTACCTTCTAATTGTAATATGTGGAAGAGCAGCGCATTCATTTGGGTCAGGTTGGTAAAGTATCTGGGTTTCCGTGAAGTTGACAGCGATTCCAAGCATTTCATATGCTTCAGAGAAGCAAATAAGAGTGCCCTAGAGCAATTCAACTGAGTGGGTACACACAACTCAGTTGTTAGTGAATTGAAGATCAGAAATGAAGTGTTGGTTATCTTGGATATGGAAGAAGTCATGAAGAAATATGATAATGGAAACAAATTTCGGTGGGCATCTGAATCTCATCAGGACCTTCCACAGGTCCTCTCTCCTGATTGAATCACAGGTCAGTGAAGGCCATTACATGCATTCAAGCATGGTAAGAATGCGTAAACATTCTTGGCTGTATTTCAGTCAACTCAGTCCCTCTGGGTTTGATATACAGTTCTTTTAAAGACTTTTTTCCTAGCTCACATTCTTATTAGAAAGAACAATAGATGCACAACTAAAATGAGTCACTCACCATTTACTGAGACCATCATTCTGTGAAAGGGAAGGGAAGGCAGAATAGAAAGAGCTGGAAAGATCCAGTGAAGCAGAAGAAGAATGCCATTTCTAGAATTTGGGTTTAAAAGCCCACAAAGGAAACTTTCCAGCAAAATAATTCAGGTTAGATAAATTAGAATCATCCAGCAAAAACCCACTTCACTGGAAAATTTCCAGTAAATTCTGTTCCTGAAGAAACAGAAGAATTCCGTTTCAAAATTATCAAAAGAAGACTGAAATGAGATTTCAGAGATTTCAGTTTGAAATGAGCATAAATGTGAAACTTCTGAGTGCTCCTTTTTTCTTTAACATACCTCTTGACTGTTTGTTAATTTTTAAAAGAGTTATTCCTAAGAATGATGTAAGCTACCCACCTGCAAAAAAATTAAATAAAAATTCTACCATTCATCATTCTAGAGAACATACTTTCAGCCCTCTCCAAGAATCCTATGAAACAACTGGCTTTTGAAGCATGCTGAATCTCAATAATTGCTTAAATATTGTGTAGTATTATAGAAATGTATCACTGTGTATGTATTGTTTTTGGTTGTAAGGTTATATATATATGTCACTGCAGTGCATTTCAGAAGTCCATTGAGTAAAGCTGTCAGTCATGCAGACAAGTAGTTGCAGACATCAAGTAACATCTTAAATGATAAGCAACCTGTTTGCTGACACCTTATTGTGCGGCTCTCCTGACAAAATAGTGACATATCTTCAAAAATGTAATTACTATAATAGGAGTAGGTCACCAGGATGCTGACTGGCATGTCTTTGCATTCTGCTGTATTCTTGATTCTGCTATGTGACATCTTTTATACACATTGGAAAGCATGCATTTTTAAACTGGCCTGCACAAAAAGCTTTCATTATAGCTGGGTAAACGAAAGTACTGTACAATCATGTAGTGAGAGGAAAATTAAAAATACCCTTTTCTAGGTTTCATTAAAAGGGGATGGGCCAGCACTGCAGTGATTAAGACCCAACTATCCCTATTTTTGTTATTTTTAGAATTGGAAAAGGGGTTCCTTTTAGCGATCTTTTGTCTGAGAACTGTGTATACCCTCTGGGGACAACATGACATTTCTTTCTGCTAGCACTCAACTCTGAATTGAGCCACTGCTCCTTCCTGGCTGAACAGAGACAGACATAGTCTCCTAGAGAGTTCTCAATATTATTTCTTACTTAACTACAGCTGCTGCGGCTGAGAGAAAGAGGGTGGCCATTCCCTCAAACAGCTGAGCAGTATTGAATCTGGAGTATGTGTCAACATTTTGGTCCTAAAACAGACAACATTTTATTTTGATGGTTTTGTATCATTTACCATTTTTTTCCTATCGATATCGATAGGGAAAAGTGGTGAATGATATATATATATTTACTTTCCTCTGGCCACAGTTGAAGCAGTGACTAGGATGGTATCAGTAATCCATACTCATGTACTCAGGTTCAAACCAGTTGCCAGATTCTCAGCTGTAAGGGAACTTTACCTTTGTTCAGCTGGGACTTTGGTTTTGTTTTTTGGTTTTTTTCCCCATCCTCTGCAGCATAGGATATGGATTGCCTGCTAGGATCCTCTGAATGTAAAATTTAGCCTCCTGTGATGTATAGGAAGCCAAACACAGGGGTTTAACTCTTTATCTGGAAAAAACTGCTAGATACAAGTTTCTGTAATCACAAGAAGTTAAACCTAAACATGATTATGGCATCCCAGTTTTCAGTAAGTCAATTGCTGATTACATACAAAACATAAAATCAATTTTGAGTGATCTAAAAGCAAAGATTTCATGGGAGAACATGACTCTGCAGTGTTAATGAGTTAACGAGACCAATTATAATTTGGTTATGAATGGCAGAACTGAGCTTCCTAGTTGCAAGCCAAAGTATTTGCAGATAACTCAATGTTACAGTAAGGATGTCTACATGTTGGTATCATGGAGAGTTACCCCAAGTTACCAGTGAATGCACTGGCATACCAGACTCTACAAAGCACGAGATCGTGCATGCAGAGAAAACTGTAGCTCCAAAACTAGAAGCAATATAGCCATATCAGCACAGTACTAAACCATGGCACTAGTAATCCGTCTTACTCAGCAGAGCTAATGAACTCAGGCACAGCATCCTACTAAAGTGGCTATACTATTTCTGGTTCCTTAGCTAATGAACTAGTTCAGGTACAGTCCTACCTTCTGGTACAGTCCTACCTTCTATATATACATATACATACATACACACACACAGATATATACACCTGCATACATACATAAGATGTAACCACCAAATAGTAATAAAACCACTAGATAAAGGAGGAGTCATAGTCATCCTAAACCATGAGGATTACATAAAGGAAGCCAACAGACAGCTCTCTGACACCACCTACTACAAAGAACTACAAGAAGATCCTACTCCCCTTTTCACCAAAAAACTCAACAATACCATCAAATCATTTCCATCAAGACTACAATAAAAACTAGAGACCTTGATCCCCCCCCTACCTAACCCAGGGACTTTTTACCTGCTCCCTAAAATCCACAAACAAGGGAACCCTGGCAGACCTATCATATCCAACCATGGGACCCTAACTGAGGAAATATCAGGTTTCGTTGAATCAATCCTAAAATCGCTTGTCACCCACCGAGCAAGTTTTGTACAAGACACTACAGACTTTCTACGGAAACTTAAAAACATAGACCACCTTCCCAGAAAC